TCAGGAATAGCTGTGGTGAGGAGGGCACCCCACTCACGTGAAAAGGAGATTTTAAAAATACAGTGCAATTTGCAAATCTTGATCAAGGCCATGTTCTTTGCAATTCTAAATTGAAATTAAAGTTTATGAATTGCTGAAAGCAGAGCCCTAAATAATCAACACTAACAGTGATCATATGATTTTTTTTTTTTACTGTGTACAAATCTCTTCTAAAGGCCATCAAATCTACTCTTCTCTCAAGTGCCCTGAGTTTTCCATTTCTTTTCTTTTTTCAAAATGATTATTTTTATTTATGTATGCATACAGGAATTGGTATGTAGGTCAGAGGTGCAGGGTGGGGGTGTGGAGAGGATTCACCAGAGACAGAGCAGGGAGTAGAATAGGTGGATCTATTAAGAGACACTGCTAAGGGGAGCAGCAGATGAGACAGGAGAGGGCTGCTGTGCCATGCAGGACAGGTCCCAGGACTGGGATCAAACTCGTGCCACAGTGGCTGGTGATAGCTTGATAGTACTGAGACTTGAGCCCTTGCTCTACCAGGGAGGCCCCAGTTTGCCATTTCTGAACATCCCAGGTTAGTTCTTCTATTCTATGGTATTTGTGTTAGTGTTTGGAATATTTATAAATATTTTTAAATTATTCAAAGTAATAGTAGTAAGACTAAGCTGGTTTATTGTATTGATCAAGGTCAAGTTGCATTTCTATAATGACCTTTCTTTAAGGAAATAAAATTTCCATTCCTTGAGCCTTCACTAACCTTGAAGATGACTATCTTTGAAAGAAAGAATTATGTGCAAAGCATCTTTCTGGAAAGCATTCTAACACCCTCTCAATTGTCAACAACTTCTGAACAACTATCTACAACTATCTGTTCATCAGGTAGTGAGATACAAATCTGTTTAATAAACTTAAACCTAGCAGAGATGGTCAGGAAAAGCTTGTCATTGCTAGAGAATATTAACTAGGCAATTCTGTCAGTAGCAGTTGCTACTAAGGACAGCAATGAGGAAAGATGGCAGCAAAGAGAACCCCAATAATATCTATATTTTCTAGAATATCTAAAATAATGTTGTAGAATTAGTGATCTTCTCCATAACAAGATAAGCAGGGACAAGTATATCTCACCCAATTGGACAGAGCACAGAAGGTTGAAAATAGAGAAGAGGATGTTACATGGTGAGGAGACCCAGAGGGTACAAGTTCCAAATCAGCTTCTATGTCATAGTAGAAAGGCCAGCTCAATGAAGAGAAGCAGAGATTTTCTTCCCTGAAGATCATATGGTACTTTTATTTAGGAATTTCCACTAGTTGCAGTATAAAGAGCATTTTTTAAGAATGGCAGATACAGCTGGGGCATAAATAATGCTCCCCTATAGTTTCAAAGGCACAACACCAATATAAACTTAATCCTGCTCTTCCTTCCCAAAGGCAAACGTCCAATGATCTTCTCAGTCATGACGTAAGTCTTCTTTGTAGTTAAGTTAGGCAAATTTGGGGAATTATCTAGTAGTTATTTTGATAGAGAAAACCCCAACAATATCTATATTTTCCAGAATATCTAAAATAATGTTGTAGAATTAGTGATCTTCTCCATGTGTGACAAGCATGGAAAGTTCCATTTCTCTAACATAACTACGAGAAGCAGAATGAGGAAAAACTGTCTTTTAGCTCTACAATGTCTTAAAGACTACACTTCACCTGATAAATGTATAGCATACAACCTCTCTTGAAAGGAATTCACATGTCTGGCTGTGCCTTCTCTGGAAAAAAAAAAGTGATAATAAGTCCTAAGGTTACTGTCAGGATTACACAAGGTGCATTCAAGGCAAGAAAATGCATTCGAGGTGCACAGAATAATGCGTGCTTTACAATAGGTCTTTAGTAGGCTACCACTAATAATTTGAATAAATTATTCTTCAAATTCTGTCAATTCTTCTTATAAAAAGAGGACAGTATCACCTGGGAGAAGAATGTTTGGAAATCTAAAGCAGACAGAGATATGAGCAAGGATTCAATTATGTTATGCGTAGTATTTCTAAAATTTTACAGAACTTCCTGACACTGTGGAACATATGAGTTTTTAAAACATGTAGTAGCCAAAGATAGAGGAGGGAGGGGCAGAACCAGATAAGCGTCTGCGTAGAGTTGTGGTGTCTGTCAGGATGTCTGTGCTAACTATCGGAAGAGATTACCAGGCATAAGATGATAGCAGGGTTGAAAGCACCCAGAGAAGGAAGATAAATGTCAAGAAACTTAGAAATGAAGGGTAAAACCCAGTGTTATCTTATCACTGTTGTTGGTGAGAGATAGCCGCAGAGCTCCCATAAAGAAGCTTCCGGAACTGAGTCTGCCTAGAAGGAAGCGTGGGAAATATTGTGCAGTAACAGCCGTTGAAGAAATCCACTCTAAGAATTCTCGTTGGCAGATGAACTAGCCAGCAGTCTCTGCGTTATAGCCAAGCAATAAGTCATCTCCAGACCTCCAAGTCAAATATGAGAAGCTTGAAGCTCATGGTGTTGTATTAAGATTTTCTACATTTTTTTTTTTTTAAAAAAAATGCATTTATTTATGTATACAGAACTGGAGTACAAACCAGAGGTACAAGGGTGGTGAGAGGATTCACCAGACACAGAGTGGGGAGCAGAACAGGCAGATCCATGAAGTACACTGCTGAGGGGAGCAGTAGACGAGACAGGAGAGGTCTGCCACGCCATGTGGGTCACCTACCAGTTGAAGATAGAAATAGCAGTGAAGCAGCTGCGGAGAGCTTGCAGTGCTGCATCCTAACCTGTTGTGCCACCAGGGAGGGCCAGATTTTCTCCCTTTTCAATCTGCATAAAATCAGTCTTTTCTATCACCAATGGGGCAAGATCCTTACCTTGAGAATACCTAGAAAATGTGTGTCTGTATGAAATAACCTGTGTGGAACCTGTGTGTGTGTTTGCACATGTATACTTATGTATATAAACGCTGACAGTGGTGCTCTGCTCTTCTATACTTAATGATTTTCTATTACTTGCATCCATTTCTAAAACTGAAGTATTAAAATCTTTATGTAAAATTACAGATTTGTTTAACTTCTTGTTGTGAGCTTTTAACAGTGCTTAACTGGTATTTTGAGATTTTTTTAATAGGCAAATTACTGTGAGGTCAACCTTTCATCATATTATGATCTCATTTGACCCTCTTTATCCCTGATAATATCCCTGCTCTAAAGGCTACTCCATCTCTCTCTGATAGAAATACTATTAATTCGTTTTTCAATTTCTGATACTATTTGTCTAGTATGCCTTTACAGTCCTTTTACTTTTATATTTTTTTTTCATATTTACAGTGGCTTTCTGGCAGACAGGAGGTAGTTAGTTCTTGCTTTTATTTTTTTTTTTAAGATTTATGCATACAGAGCTGGGGTACATACCAGAGGTGCAGGGATTCACTAGGTGAGAGGATTCACTAGAGACAGAGGGGGGAGCGGAAAGGCCGACTGACGAAGTACACTGCTGAGGGGAGCAGCAGGTGGGTCAGGAGAGTCCTGCTCACACCATGTGGGTCACCTCCGGGGCAGGCGGGAATCGAACTCATTCAGAAGTGGCTTTAGCTTCTTAGTGCTGTGCTTTAACCCTCTGTGCCACCAGGGAGGGCCCAGTCCTTGCTTGTTTATCCAATTTAATAATCTGGCTTTTTTAATTGGTGGGGTTAAAACGGAGGTTAGTAAACCATTCTGGAGAAGGTCAAATCAAAAATATTTTCATTTTTTTTCAGGCCATTAGGTCTCTGTTGTGAACCAGTCACTTCTTAATGTAGTCTAAAAGCAGCTATCATCAATGTGCAAACAAATGAACAGGTTTGGCCTCTGGACTGAAATTCACTCACCTGGTTTAGATCATTGAGATTTAAAGTGAATATTGATATGTTTGGGTTAGAATCTTCTCAACTGTTTTATATTTATTTCCTCTGTTCTTTGTTTCTCTCTTGTTCTTTGTTTCTCTTTGGGCTTGGGTATTCTTTCATTGTGGCATTTAATATTAGCTTATTAGCTAGAACTCTTTATTATAATCAATATTACCCAAATATATATGCCCAATTTACAATATGTGGATTTGATTAATTGCACCAAAAAATAGTATTATGCCGCTTTAGTTATAACTGGAATATCAAACAATATATCCCAAGGCATTTCTTCTAGCTTTATACTAATTTATATTAGATTTTATTTGGAGTTATGCTTTATATACAGACACATGATGTATTTTAGATAGCCATTTTTACCAATGAAACAGAGAAAAGCTCTTTTTTTTTAACATTCTTCATTTTAGTAGATTCATATTTCTGCCGGGTATATTCTTTTATCAGAATAACTTGCTTTGATAGATATCCAAGTGTGAATCTGTTGGCAATGAGTCCATCAACATTTTTATCTTGAAAAGTATTTATCACCATTTTACTTTGAAAAATGATTTTGCTCTTTTAATGACAGATGTTTTTGCTCCCAGAATTTTGAGAATTAAACCCTTTTTATTCTAACTTGCATAGCTTTTCATGCAAAATGTGCTTACTTCTTATTTTAATTCAAAACGGTGTCAACTACCTATTCTTTGTAGCTGTCTTCTTCCTATTGAACCCACCAGCTGGCTTCTACAGAAAACCACTGGGAGAGGACCCACCCTGTTGGTACAACAGATTAAAGCGCAGCACTGCCGAGCGATCAGCAGCCACTGCAGCATGAGTTTGATTCCCTGCCAGGGAGGTGATCCTCATGGCTTGGCGGACCTGGGCCTCTGCTGTCCTGCCTGTTGCTCCCCTCAGCAGTGTACTTCGTCGATCTGCCTGTTCTGCTCCCCACTCTCTCTCTGGTGAATGATCTCAACCTCCAGCCCCTCCACTACCATCTGTAGCCTGTGCCACACAGTTCTAACATGCATAAATACATAAATCTTTAGGGAAAAAAATCAAAATACCACTGGGAGGGAAGCAGTGAGTTGAGGGGGACAGTGGGTTTATTAACTCTTTGGGAAGCTGGTTGGAGAACTTGCAAATCCAGAAAACCGATAAGGTGAGACATGAGGAAGCCAGCTAAACACCCAAAGAATCACACGAAAATCTGCCGTTGGGTTGTTGCCAAAGTTGCCAGGAAGTTGGGTGGAAAACCCAGAGAAAATGCTCAGATGTTGCACTTGGGAAGCAGGAAGGGCCTCAGCGAAAGTCTCCACTGTGGAAGAGAAAATATTATACTGCCATGAGGATGCAGCTGGGGATGCAGCTCTCGATGGGAGACTTCTGTCAGGATGCTGCTGAGCTTCCCGGAACCACCTGCCCGTAGAACCTGCAGACAACACAGGTGGCTCTTTGACTGCTCCTCAGAGCCACCCTTGGCTCCTTGACTGCTCCTCAGAGCCACCCTCACCAGCTCAGCTCCCCACAAGAGAGTGTTACCACCCATTCTCATGGAGTGTCCCTCCAGTGCCATCTGCTGTTGACATTGTTTTTAAGTCCCAGTATCACAACCACAATAACTTAATGAACCTGGAGCTGAGAGATAATTAATTAATAAATGATCCAATCCAACCACTGGATTCAATCTCAAGAGCAGAATGAAAGCAACTCAACTCTCATCTTTCGGGAGCCTGTGTCCAGGACCATTTAAGGAGCAAGTGCTGTACCAGTCAAGGTCCAGTCAGGAGACAGAAATCATGAACTATTTCCAAGGAGTTAACTTCTAGAGAGAATAAAAGCAAACTCTGAAGAGCCATCCTCTGCTGAGATAGAATTTTCCAGGAAGAGGATGATCGTTGAAGGAGATAATCCTTCCCACACTGCAGTGCAGATTTCAGGAAAGTATGCACCACGGTTGGTAAGCTGATGCAGGTGGTTGAGAGAGCAAGAGAGGGCTGGCAAGTTAGAAACTACTCCCTGGAGCACTCACAAGTCGAGGATGGTGAGCCAAGAGAGGCAGGCAGTGATTTTTTTCCTAAAAACAAAGCAGCCCTGAGATGAATTGGCAGGAAATTCAGCGGTTGTCAATCTGTCAGGTGGGTTTGATGTTGCTCTGGCAGGAACCTTACTGGGCACCATCTGGACTCATGGGAAAGACACTGAGAAGAAGCTGGCAGAGGGGAGGGTGCTGTGAAATGCAGGGAAACTGTCTGGGGTGCCTGCAGTTGGATGGGCAGGGAGCCTCGTGAGTGCCATGAAGCTCTCAGTAACGGAAACTCAGAGAGCAGCCTGGCAGGGTCCACACACCAGCTCCTCTCCACTGGAGCAAAAGGAAGCAAAGCACCCCTGACCAGTAAATGTACTCCTTCCTCCTCCAGTGTCCTTCAAGGAAAAATGAAAAATATCCAGGTATCACAAAGAACAGGAAGGGAGACTTGGAGCTGAAGAGCAATGAATCAGTGACGAATGCTGGATCTCTCGGCCAGATCTTCCCCATGCTCCTTCCTTTAAGCCTTTGGACTCCAGACAGATTCCTGCCCTGCTCTACACAGGCACAGAGGCCTGCTCTTCTTCCTTCCCCTGAAGTGGGTCATCATCATCCTACCGAGGGTGTGAGGTTAGCAGCTCCTCCATCTGCTTCAGGGGCAAGGCCTTCCTAGGCCTGCCCCACTGAGACTGCTCAGTTCTCCACCTTGCCCCCAGCTTTTTCTGGGGACACTCAATGAAATGGGTGAAAAGAGCACGCTTGTGGGCTGCTCTCCCCTCTGTCCATGAGGATCAGGTGTGTTAGGCTCACACTTGTCCACAGCAGCCCAGGGGTTGTTAAGCACTGGGGCTCAAGTCTCCCTACTGTCTGGAATGCCATCCAGAATCCAGCTACTGCTCTGGGTAAGTAAGTACTTTTGTCCAGCCCCTCGTTAGCAGATCATCCATGTTGGGTGATCGGTTTCAGTGTGACCTCGGTTCTCTAATGAATTCAAGAAAAGTTGTGATTTTTACAGACTCTATGTGTATATATGTGTCTATGTGAAGTTGGAAGGAGTGTCCTAACTTTTTATTTTTAAGTGGAGACACCTTCCCATAATTACATGTTCAAGGGTAAGCAAAAAAACTAGACACAAGTAATGTTTAAAACAAACAAAAGAAAAGTAAAACATTTCTTAACCTTCCAGACGGGAAGTTTTTTGGATCACCATGATTGCCTTCATTCAGGTTCCTACTAGTTATTTAATATCCCAGTGAAATGCTGAAATAATATCCCAGCTAAATATTTTTAAAAGTTTAAATATTAAACTTTTAAGTTTAATACAACAGGTTTATGTTTAATAAAGATTTGACTAAACCAGAACCATGAGACTCTTTAAATTTCTTTTTTTCCGTAATCTTGTTTGAAATTGGCACCTATATCATTGGGTTAATTTATTTATTTTTAATTCAGTTATATTTATATTCATGTATTCATACACCCACATGTTTACACTCACATGCCCTATACTATATAACAGTATTACATATTAAAATTACAGAAAATCAATGAGAAAAGCATATAAAAATATCTACAGTGTATAGTCATTTAAAGAACTGAATCTCTTTTAAGGATTTTTTTTTATGCAATCTTTCACTTTTATCCTATTTTTCAAGGTATCTTCTGCTCAGTCATGGGTTCTTCATATTCTTTACTCATCAAAAACTTGGCAGGCAATTTGTATTATAAAATACAATAAACCTTGCTTTCCTTTAAAAGTTTCAGAATGGTTTGAATTATTCTACAATTTAGCACCATAATAAAAGAATAATCGTAAATTTTAATTCTCCATTGCTTTAAGTATAGTCAGATCTTCCAACATTTCTCATCTTAAATGATATCTCCTAACTGGCCTCCATCATCCATTGTTAACGCTCCAGTTGATTTTTTCCCTGTGTCCTCTCCAACAATCACATAAAGAAAATGCAAACGTAAACCTCTTTAAACTTCTTCACAGCAATTGGTCCTGGTTTCAAATTTCCCTAAATGAACTGATTTTACAATCCACGCTCATCCTTATTCTTTTCATGCATTGACACTTCTATTTTTTATATTTGTTCCAAAGTGGTATTATCTTTCCTGAGTAAGGGTGTATATATGAGCTGTTCTTTCTGACAATTACTCTTTCCTCAGCCAACAATCAATAGTTATCTCCACTTTCCATATAATCATCGTTTTCTTCTCAAACTCAGCAGAGGGCTTGAATAACAACAAAAGTATCTGTTCATTCCCTGTCACGTGACCATAGCCCTGCACGATCATCTCCGACCTTCTGCCTCCTAGTATGTGTGCATTGAGTTATCCAACTAGATTCTAAGCTAAGGCTTAGCTTATTACAATATTGTCTTTAAAATTGCCAACTCTTAAATTATGAACAGAGAATCTGATACATGAAGGGAATCAAACTTAAAGATGTTAAAAAACCAAAAAATTCTTATCCAACAAATTTCTGCCCTTCCTTCTCTAATACATTTTAATCTATTTATTAAGTATTTAAATGTTTTGATGTTTCCTATGTTTTTCATTGTGTGACTTTGTGTAAGGTTCTTAACTGCTCAAATTATTTTCTCAGTTTATTTTCAACAATTATATTTGGTCTCTTATGATGGGTTATTTAATTGGCAGAGGAGCTCACTTCAGAAATTAAAAATACACAAATAGATCCTCCCTGGTGGCTCAACAGGTTGGAACACAGCACCACAAGCTGGTCACAGCCACTTCAGTGGGACTTGATCCCAGCCCCGGAGGTGACCCACATGGCGCGGCAGACCTCACCTGTCCCGCCCGCTGCTCCCCTCAGCAGTGTACTTAGTTGATCTGCCTGTTCTGCTCCCTGCTCTGTCTCTGGTGAATCCTCTCACAGCTCCTGCACCCCTGGCCTGTACCCCAGTTCTGTGAACATAAATAAATAAATCTTTAAAAAAAATGAAGTGATCTAATATTTAAAAAAAAATACACAAATGGTATTTTCTAAAGGATTAAGTAATTGACTGCTAAATAGTCAAATACTGTTGAATTATACAAAAACAGAAAAAAAGGCTTAACTAAAATATTAAGTTTTTCTCTATCTGTTAGCAGGTGAGAATGTCTGAGCCATTATGGAATTATAGACAAAGAAACATTTTTTAAAAGGCAGACTTATATGGGAAGGTTTTCTGTAGGACGTGAGGAATAAAGAAGTTAAGGATCGATTTAATTTCAGATAGCAAATCGCATCTCAATAAAAGTAAAAAAGTTGGCGTACTTATGGTAGAAAAATGATGCAAATAAATTAGAATCAGAAATGTCTGTGAGTTTATGATGGGACATATAAAACTCACAGTAATGTACAGGGAATTACTATCTATTATGCATTATCTTCTAAGAGTGGGTAACATAAAACTGTAAAGCACAGTAGATTTTTGAAGGAAGGTGTAAGTAGAATAAGTAGAAATAGGAACTACTTCAAAGTCAAAATTCACACTTTATTGCAGAGGTATGTTTTTAGCCCATTGGATAGTAGAAAAGTTCTCTGGCATTTTTCCAGGCTCCTGCTGGGCCAAAACCAGTGGACCAAAGATGATGGGTAGGAAATCTTGAACCAGGATTGGCAAGCAGAAAATTTTCTCACTGGGGTGCCAGCTGACTGCAGCTGTCTAGCAAGAGATCACTTTTTGATAGACAGACAAAATTTGGAAACACCCTTGACTTGTGTAGTTTAACATTATCGGAAACCAGGTGTACACCAATATTTACCTACTCATGTATGTAAGAAGCCAACTGCAGTTGAAGCTACTCATCTTGCTGGGAAGCCACTGGAGAACATATAGGAGAAACCTACAAAGTTGTGTTTGGGGGATATTGCTGAAGTTCCAACCCCTTCAAAGACAAGAGAAGCAATGACCATAAAAATTTACTAATAAACCACTCATGGGGTATTTTTACTCCATTCACCTCCAAGAACCCCATTGAGTTACAGTGACTTCCCAGCAAAACCACTCATGGGAGATGCAGCTAAGTCAACATGGTAGAATTAGTTATCTAACCCAGGTTTTCTGTTTTTGCCATTCTTGAGTAACAGTATTGGCTTTGGAACATGCCAGGTAATCAGAATATTGAGAGACAGAACATTAAATTTTCCTGGTAAACTAAACAGCCAAGATTTAATCTCATTTGTGGTTTAAACCATTGAGAGCACTTTATCACTAGTTACAAACAGCTGCTCATGTAAATTTTTTATCCAGTTTTAGAAAGTACCAGAAATTTAATTTTTTTACACATAGAGATAAAAATATTATTTAAGATTTATTTATTTATACATACAGAACTGGGTACAGGCCAGAGGTGTGGGGGGTGAGAAGATTCACCAGTG